CCCCCCCCCCCCTCCCCCAACTGGAAAATATGATAAGCTGACCCTGCGGCTGATTCTAATTTTATATACCTGTAGAAGTTAAGAATACAATTGAAAGATCTGGGATGTCTGTCAAAATAATACTCGTTGTCCTCAAGCGAATAGGCATCGCACAGCTCCAAAATCTGAAAACGGATACGTTGTATTCCAATAAACATGAAAGGTCAAAGACGACTTGAAGAACAAAGTTTGTATCATAATAAAGTTGCAGGACTTATAAGCTTTTCTGGAGATACGTAACATCATGGAACGCTGTTAAATAGATACAATTTTTTCGTGCAAATCTTCTAGTACAGTACGTTCGGCTTTTATATCAAGACAATGAAGACGACTTTCCTATTCAAGTTTGGTTTCTAAAAGGCGTTATTTCAAAATACAAGTTTACAAGTAAACAAAACTAAGAAGCTGCCAATTGACAGCTTCTTAAGGGTTTAAAGTTTATGTGTCTTCATGCTGTTTACAAGCCTGGTAAAAATCAAAAATTAAAAGTTGTCTTCATTTTTTATGTATACGACGAAGAAAGCGAATAAAAATTAAAGAAAACCAAAAAATCGTCTCTCAAGTATTAGGTTTACAGTAGTTTTGAACATTTTTGAATGCTGAAAATTTTAAATAAATTTTTAAGAGGCCTTTTTGGTCTCAATTTTGAGTTGTAGATATTTCTAGAAAGGGCTAGAAGACCTAATATTAACCTCTACTGACCTGATTTGAATATATTGAAAGTACTAGAAGATCTAATATTAACCTCTACTGACCTAAGTTAAATATATTGAAAGTACTAGAAGATCTAATATTACCCTCTACTGACCTGATTTGAATATGTTGAAAGGGCTAGAAGACCTAATATTGACCTCTACTGACCTGAATATATTGAAAGTACTAGAAGACCTAATATTGACCTCTACTGACCTGATTTGAATATATTGAAAGTACTAGAAGACCTAATATTGACCTCTACTGACCTGATTTGAATATATTGAAAGTACTAGAAGATCTAATATTGACCTCTACTGACCTGATTTGAATATGCTGAAAGGGCTAGAAGACCTAATATTAACCTCTGTCCTCTACTGACCTGATTCGAATATGCTGAAATGGCTAGAAGACCTAATATTGACCTCTACTGACCTGTCTTGAATATGTTAAAAGGACTAGATGACCTAATATTGACCTCTAGTTACCTGAGTTAAATATATTGAAAGCGCTAGAAGATCTAATATTAACCTCTACTGACCTGATTTGAATATGCTGAAAGGGCTAGAAGACCTAATATTAACCTCTACTGACCTGATTTGAATATGTTGAAAGGACTAGAAGACCTAATATTGACCTCTAGTGACCTGAGTTAAATATATTAAAAGCGCTAGAAGATCTAATATTGACCTCTACTGACCTGAACTGAAGATGTTGAAAGAGCTAGAAGACCTAATCTTGACCTCGGTTGACGTTCCAACATCCTCCACATGACCTCATGCTTTACACCACCAACATTCAAAACAACCTGCATCAAGATTTAAAGTTTTTGTATTTTGATAAAAATCTACTGTAGACATTCTGAATTTCTTTTTAATCTTTAGAACAAAAAGGTCCAAAAGTTTTCTTTAAACTTAAATTCATCGAAAAATCAATTCTTATGCAGCAAAATAGACTGCAGCAAGAATGTACATCCTTGGACTGCAGGTTGTACAGTGTACAGACTAGAGACAGGACAGTACACCATGAAATGAATCATCGCATTCGGTATACACATTTACTTGTTCTGTGTTTTCCAAGGTTGAATATAAGGTTAGATAATTTGAATCCGCTGCTGTGCAGGGGCGTAACTTGTACTTTTTTCAGAGGGGGGGGGAGTGCGTAAGTTTATTTTTGGAGGGTGTTATCTATCCACTAGTCCTTTTTGTCCACCATACAGTCCCTTTACTGTTGTAGTTCCTGCAAGTACTTTGTAAATATCCTTCTTTAGTCAATAATCCGGTTAAAGTCTTTCTGTAGTCCCTCTGCCCTTGTTTCCCAGTAAGGAGACTATATCCCTTTACTTCTCTTATCTATATATAAATTTAGCTTGTCTGTCTGTCTGTTTGTATCCAATAAACGTCAGAACGACTGAACCGATCGGACCCAAATTTTGTGTGGGACCTCACTTGACCCCAGGGAAGGTTTATGAATGATCAAAATTAAAAAAATTTGTGTTTTAAAGTTTTTTTGATTTGTAAAATTTTGAAAATGCGCAAACAAATATTATATTATAAAATCCGCAAACTTTTTTGCTTTTGTTTTATACTTCAAAAAGGAGATGATGCTCACAGATAAAGCCACAATTAAAAGTTGAAATAGAATTAAAAGTGGTTTTGAAGGAACTGATAAAAACCGAATATTTTCATGAACATCCAAAAAAAACGATAAATTTCTTGAAAAATTCACCTTTTTGTGGATTTTCCTCATTCTGAGAATTTCTAATCGCTCCTTCTCCTCTTCCTCCTCCTCTCCATCCTCCTCATCCTCATTTGTAGAGTTTGAGGATACTGATCCGTATCTAATCGATCAATTAATCAATCATTTAACCAATAAACCAATCAATCAATCACTGCTAATAAATTAGTTCATCAATAATTCAAATAATGAATGAGGATGCACTAAATTGGTTAGTTTAGACATGTGAAAAGGAAGTTAATTACATGTTATTGCGCTTTTCACCACTAAGGGAGATTTTTTTATGCATAATCACTGATTCTCATACATTGTATGTATAAAATGTACACTGTACACCCTTTTAATATATTTCCATTTATCTGAATTAACTACTTGTTTACATACGCTGACGCTATTTCTACTTGAAACCTTAATCTGATCAAAACTATGGAAAATAACGTCAAAGTTGATGGAATATGTTTCTTGCCAGCAATATTCTTTCATTTTCTTGGGAAACGCGGGAACCTTTTGTAGGGTTTGCAGGACTTTCTCTAATTTTGTTGGAACGCTCTCTACTTTATCAGGATTTTCTCAAGCATTGTTATTATAAGTTCTTTAGCATTGTCAGGACATGCTATAATATTCTTGGGATTTTCTCTAGATTTGTCAGAGTTTTTATGAAATCTAGTATTTGTGGGCAGGCGGCCTTGTGTTCCAGAAGCTGCAAAGGACAGAAGAAGCTGATGTTAGAGTCAAACCAAGACAGTTAATAATAAAGGTGTTTGTGTTGAGCATATCAGGGACCAGTACACCATCCGACAAATATACACAAATATACAGAATATTTTAATAAAACTTTCCAAACACATTTTAGATATTGATCTTTATAACTCCATGGGTCCTAAATAACAGATGAGCATTGGACATAAATAGAGAAGTTTCTCCGTTTTTGGTCATAAATAGAGAAGTCTCTCCGTTTTTGGGCATAAATCGAGAAGTCTCTCCATCAGTGATTTTTGCCTCCAGCCTTCTACCCATCTAAAATGACTGTCACTATAATATCAAGAGCTTCTCCATTTTATAAAAGGCCATCTGATTCATAGTGGTAGCCTTGAAACCTTTATCTGATCAATAATGTGGAAGATATTACTTTTTTTTTAATCGATGAGTGTTAGATCCTACAGTTTTGTACCTTCATTGTTTCTAGTGAGAAATTTGTAAATCACTTTGGTAGAAAAACCACAATTGAAAAAAACCATTGTTTTAACCCTATTCCTGCTGGGGGGGGGGAGAAATAAATCTGGGGGAAGGGAATATGTGCGAAGCGCAAACTAAAAATCCCCCCCTTCGAGCTTCTAGGGGGGGGGGGCAAAATTTGAACCGTAAATTCAAAACATTTGGTATCTTGGATACTTTAAAGGTACACATAGTCCAATTAACATACAAAGACTACTTCATCTCTCCATCAAACCAAACTAGCAGATTGAATATTAAGCTAGATAAGAATATAAAAAATAATCAAATAATGAAATCGACGTTTAAAAGATTCCAATTCAAAATTAGAAAATCTTTTTCATAAAAATATAAAATCCTAAATAATTGGAGTAAACTATATACCTTGATTTTTCAGCCTGCTCTGTAAAACTCCTCTGAAAAATAAATTCATGATTTTTATCATTCCACATCATGCTTAGAAATAAAAGCATGAGGGGGGGCAGTGTCCCAGCCCCCTTTATTGTTGTTAAAACAGTAAATGAAACTGTTCTTAATGGGGCTGCTAAAGCCTAATTTCAAGTGCAAAGATGGCAATGCCCGATTCTCAACGGTACCCTTAAGAGCTGTTGCTGTTTCAGTATGAATCATATATCAATGTGTATGATTTGTAAAACTGATTACGTTCGATTGCGGTTTCTCTACAAAAGCGCCCTGCGCATTTCTACTGCAGGAAAACATTGTTGAATTATCATTATTAAAAACATATAAACCTGTAAAAACGACACTACTCCCAATATTTATTGATCTGTTAAAGAATTCAAGGGTACAGTTGTGAATCGGGCATTGCCATCTTTGCATGAAGTGTCACTTGAAATTACACACTTACAGGCCGCTTAATTGACTCTTTCCCTAATACTTAAGAAGACACGACCAAAAATAGCCCTTTTAAAGTATATATACAACTTTTACATCTTCATACGAGCTACATTCGAGCCAAACAAGGCTTTGATTTGTCAAAGTTAAGCACTTAGATGTTACACTGAAAAATCGTAGAAAAAAAGTTTTAAAAGTAAATACTATTGCCTTTAGGATGAATCTAATAAAGTCATGAGAAAGTTAGTATTTAAAATATAAACACCAGAAGAAAGTATAAAATCCAAAAGAAATCGTTAGAATTTTCTATGGATTTTTTCTCTCCAGGTTTTGTTGAAACATTTAACATTTTAAAGATGTTTGCTAATATACATTTAAAAGGTTTATTTGATTTGGAATAATCAAGATTTTTTATTTTTATTTTTTATTGTACAGCAACTAACCTGTGGAGGAATTATAGGTAATGATGGCTTGTCTGTACAACCGTACTGTAAATCCTGCAAGAACAATTATTATAAAACAGTTTTGTATATTCTATATAAAATAAAACAAGACATTCGTATATATGTTGCCTATAGCCGGCCAAACCGCTGGACCGATTGGGCTAACATTTTTTGTGGACACTCATGGGTGGCCGGGGGGTGTTATAGGCTAAAAAATCCATCCATTTTCCAATTTTGTTTTTCACGGGCAACGCCGGGCTCTTCAGCCAGTTTTCATTGTAATTTATGAACTTTAGAAATCTAAGTCGTCAATGAGTTTTCTTGTTTATTTGGGCACCCTGGACGAGTACAGAGTTTGTTAAAAAATAATATGACACTTGTAAGTAGTGCACAAAACTGCCTTTTCTGTTATTTGTTGTGTTCAGGGTTTCCATTCGTAAAACTTTTGTTTTCGTTGCGGTACTCTTTTACGCAACAAAAAATTACACTTTGGGAAATCATTCGCAAACTTCATTTCGCGCCAATTTGCGCTATTCCACTTTTGCATTATTCTGTTTTGCTGCGCAATTTTGCACTTTTTGGCATATAATTGCAATGCTTAATATGTGTTAACTAATTACTTGCCTAGCATTTTTAAATGTGTGTCTAAGCCTATAAAAAAAGGATTAATGATTTGTGGGGTAAACCAAAGGCCAAGGCTTTGAGACACTTAAAAGTTCAAAGTTGAGGCTGTATATAGAAAATTGATAACTAAGGGTTGTCTATATCTCAATGGGTATAACCCTTTGATATTTCAATTATATGCATTGAAGTAGAAGTAGTCAACATTTGAAATCTAAAAATCTAAAAAACTATGCATCAATTTTCAATTTTCGATTTTCAATTTTCTAATTACTATTTTATTTCTTGTTGTCCCTCATCATAAAGATTCAGACATTTTAAAAAGCTATGCATCAGTTTTCAATATTTGATTTTCAATTTTTTAATTCCTATTTTATTAATTTTTGTCCCTCAAATTAAAGTTTTTGTAACTAAAAGTAACCAATTCAGAGTAGCATTATCATAATTTTGTTTTTTTGTATATGCCAATAATGTATTCGTTGCCTATTATTTGTGGCAAGTTTTTTATGTATTTGTGCAATGTGGCACCAAGTGCTAGAATTAACAGAATTATATCTATATAATGAAATAAAGCTCTTCGCTCATATATATATATATAATATATATTTATATGTTAGCTAAAGCTGGCCTAACGGCTGAACCAAACTGGCTGAAAAATTCGAAATTTTTTTTTGCAATTGCAATTTTTTTATTAAAATTTTTTTAATTCCACGGGCAACGCGAGGCATTTCAGCTAGGGATAAATATACCACAAAATTATAAGTTGATAAAGTTGCTTTTATTTTTGTTTCTGAAAACTCTCTTCAACAGAGTTTAAATGAATTTTTTTGAGTTAGCTGTATGTACTTTGGTCGAAATGAAATCCATTTAATTTAAAGAAAGTCTCAAAACCTCTGAAAAGAATGAATCAATTTAAATAAACATGCTTTTAGTGCGCTTCCCGCCCATCTTCCATTTCAACTAAACAAAAATAAAAAACTTTTAAACACAAATTTTTCAAATTTTAATAATTCATAAACCTTCCCTGGGGTCACGTGAGGTCCCACACAAAATTTGGACCCGATCGGTTCAGCCGTTTTGACGTTTATTGGATAAAAACAAACAGACAGACAAGGTAAATTTATATATAGAAGGTGCAAAGTATGGATGAGGGGCTTTGGTCTAGGAGAAACTATTTTTCTTCTTTTTTTTGAAAATGTATTAAACATAAATGTTTTATGTTATTATTCTTTTTTCTTGTTTAAAAATGAATAAATTTATGAAAGCAATTTTTAAAAACAATGATCATAAAAAAAAACATTTTTTTAAAAGTTTGAATGTAAAAATACCAAAAATTCTTAAATATACAAAATTCTTAAAATACAAAGATTAAAAAAAACCAAAAAACAATGGCAATTGGAGTTTTTACCTTGCAAGAGGAGCTAGGAGATTAAAAATGAGTTCATTTTGCTGCCTCCGTGGTAAGGATAAAAACTTCTCAGATCCCACAGGAACCGTCATTGTTTCCAGGTTCATTCTAGTCCGCCATCTTATTTTCTGAAAAAATTTCAAGGATTTTTTGAAAATAAAAATTAAAGGGGGTATAGGCTTACTTCTATCAGTGTTTGATTGTGATCACTACTAATCTTACTTCTATCTGTTGCGTCTATGGGAGAAACTGGTTTAATACAACTCATACCGAAGAACGTAGTATTTATAATTGAATTCACGAAGTTGCAATTTTTGACTCACATCGTAAATAATTCAGTTTCATTCCAAACAAATCATTCAGAATCATCTATTTTTGTCCCGACGCATTCGTATACAGTTGATACTTCATAATATTTTTTTATTTGTTTTATATACAATGCACTTAAAACGACGATTTTTTGTCGGCTAGTTGTCTCTTCTACGTGGAACCATACTGAAACATCGAGAGCAGAGACAAGATGGCAGCCAACTAGTCCTCGCTTAAATTGCATCATAAATAATATTATGAAATATCAACTATATATGAATCTGTCGAATAAAATTCGATGATTATTGGTTGCAATATCTGAATGATTTTTTAAAAATCAAATTGATTTTTTTTACGATCTGAGTCAAATATTGCAACATTCTGACCATGTGACGCTGTATAGTTTTTCGGTGTGAGTAGTTTTTTAACAATTTTCTTGTTATAGACGATGCAACAGATAGAAGTAAGAATATTGAATATTTTTCGACGTAAGCCTATAGCCCCTTTCATTTTTCGCAAACACTCCCTTTCATTTAAATTTTATCATAAAGTTGGTATGGATAAATACTTTAAACATAAAAAGTATGCGTGTACAAAAAAAAACCGCAAAACATATGATCATTTTTCGTGTCTTTAATCAATGCTAGATATTACTTATTTAAAATATATTTCTTAGGTTTAATGTCACATCAGCATTTTCGATTTAATTTTTATTTACATTCTTGATTGTAACGTTTACTAGTATCGATTATTAACAATTAAGAAAATATTGGTTAATATTTGTTTTTAATAAAAATAATGTAGATTGAAGATTCCTCACATAAAATGTGAGGAATAGTATTGGTTTTATCCCCTTTAGAGTTTTCCCTCCTTCAATAACCATAAAGTTTTTACTTGGTTAGATTATATAGTTAATGCACATTTGGTTGAAATATTTCTTTCTATTAAAGCAAAATCCTGCAGAGAAATACCCCCCATGTTGGGGGCAAAACCACTTCTAAAAAATCATAGTTTTCCACTTTTTTTTGGGGGGGGGGTTGTTAAGCCCCCTCCCTGTATATGCCGATCCGCATCCACACCTCTCTCTGCACTGAAACATTACGTTACGTTTTTTACTGACAAAAAGGTATTTGAAATCAGCCCCGCAAGTGAAATGATAAAAGATGTAGAACACCCTCCTGGATCCTGAAGATCGAATCGTTAAAGAATAAATATCATTTTTATTTGAACACTCTGTATAATGATTATTTGACCCTTTTAGCATACTTATTAGTTCCCTCTGTGTCATGTTTGGTTAAACTCTCTGTATCATGCTTATTTAAACCCTCTGAATCATGTTTATTTGAACCCTCTGTATTATATTTATTTAAACCCTCTGAATCATGTTTATTTCAACCCTCTGTATCATATTTATTTCAACCCTCTGTTCCATGTTTATTTCAACCCTCTGTATCATGTTTATTTAAACCCTCTGAATCATGTTTATTTAAACCTAGTTGTATCATAATTATTTAAGCCCTCTGAATCATGTTTGTTTGAACACTCTGCATCATGCATATTTTAATACTATATCATGTTTATTTAAGCCCTCTGTATCATGTTTATATGAACACTCTGTATCATGTTTATTTAAACCTCTGAATCAAGTTTATTTGAACCTCTGTATCATAATTATTTGAACCCCTATGTATCATGTTTATTTAAAGCCTCTGTATCATGTTTATTTGAACCCTCTGTATCATATTTTTTTTTAACCCTATGTATCCTGTTTATGTTAACCTCTGTATCCTGTTTATTTCAACCCTCTGTTCCATGTTTATTTCAACCCTCTGAATCATGTTTATTTGAATTCTCTGTATCATGTTTATTTGAACCCTCTGTATCATGTTTATTTGAACCCTCTGTATCATGATTACTTGAACCCTTTGTATCATGTTTATTTCAACCCTCTGTATCATGTTTATTTAAACCCTATGAATCATGCTTATTTGAACCTAGCTATGATTTAAGCCCTCTGAATCATGTTTATTTGAACATTCTGTATCATGCATTTTAACACTATATCATGTTTATTTAAGCCCTCTGTATCGTTTTTATTCGAACACTTTGTATCATGTTTATTTAAACCTCTGAATCAAGTTTATTTGAACCTCTGTATCATAATTATTTGAACCCCTCTGTATCATGTTTATTTGAACCCTCTGTATCATATTTATTTGAACCCTCTGTAGCATGCATATTTGAATCCTCTGTATCATGTTTATTTTAATCCTCTGTATCATGCTTATTTGAACCCTCTGTATCATGTTTATTAATGAACCCTCTGTATCATGTTTATTTGAACCCCTCTGTATCATGTTTATTTGAACCGTCTGTATCATATTTATTTGAACCCTCTGTATCATGCATATTTGAACCCTCTGTATCATGCTTATTTGAACCCTCTGTATCATGCTTATTTGAACCCGCTGTATCCTGTTTATTTGAACCCTCTGTATCCTGTTTATTTGAACCCTGTGTATCATATTTATTTTAATCCTCCCTCTGTATCATATTTATTTGAACCCTCTGTATAATAATTATTTGAACCCTCTGTATAATGTTTATTTGAACCCTCTGTATCATGTTTATTTGAACCCTCTGTATCATGTTTATTTGAACCCTCTGTATCATGTTTATTTGAACCCTCTGTATCATATTTATTTGAACCCTCTGTATCCTGTTTATTTGAACCCTCTGCATCCTGTTTATTTGAACCCTCTGTATCCTGTTTTTTTTAGCCCTCTGTATCATGTTTATTTGAACCCTCTGTATCATGTTTATTTGAACCCTCTGTATCATGAGAGGTTCTAATAAAAGAATTCCAGAGCGTACATGTGTCAATTTAAAGAGTAATAATATTTTATGTACTCTTACTTGTACTGTTGTACAGCATGCAGCTAAAGTCACTTATCAAGTATACAGGGTAGCCCATTTTGAGTGAAGACCTTTTGATTGTCTATGTTTACAAGTAGCATTGTGTAATAACTTATTTCAAAAGCAATAATAAATATGCTAGATTAGCACGAACCGCCCGGCGGTGTGAAACTTTTCTAAAACAATTTTACAGAAGCAAAAAAGTGTTAGCAAAAAAGAAAAATTTGACAATCTTAATAATAATATGGGTATACATTGAACCAGCTTGAAAACCGGAGTTCAAAACAATTTACAGAATGGAAAAATATTGAAAATTGGTCAAAAACAGATTTTAAAAAAAAAAAGTTCATTATAGTACGTACTAAAAATGTCTTTTTTGACCTTACTCAGTCTAAGGAATTGAGTTTTTGCCACAAACTCAAATTTTCTAATCCCTATATCCTTGCAAATTGATAGTATAAACCTTTGATATTTCAAACTTAGATTATTTGATCTAACAGAATTCATAGTTTGAAATATCAGAGGTCTACAACATCGGGATCCCAAGAAATAGGGTTTAGAAAATCATAGTTAGTGGCAAGAACATAGTTCCTTTCAATATTTTTCCATTCTGTAAATTGATTTGAATTCAGAAAGAAATTCAATTCGGTTCCAATGATACCCAATTCAATAAGTATTTCAAACTTTTCATTTTCACTTATACTAGTGACTTTTTAAATGTGAACCCCCATTTGAGGGGCACATTTTTAATTTTTGTGAAAAATATATTTTTTGAAGATGTCTTAATATTCCTAGTAGAATACTTTTTTGCTTCTGTAAAATTGTTTCAGAAAAATGCACACCCTTAAGTCGAACAGTGTTTAAAAAAGTCATCTGTATTCTATATGTGTTGGTGATTACATGTAATAGACATTGTAATTATCCGTTATATACCTTTGCATCGATCCTTATCACATTTAAAGTAAGGATTTATGTGTTTCGTGTTTCGTTATCATTATCTAATTTGTACCTGCACTTGTGTGACCCAAATTTATATTGATTGATATTTCACCTGGAAAAATTGTATGTCGAGTATACCGCGGGAGGGAAGATTTAGAGTTTGATGCAGAATCTTGATTAAAGTTTACGTTTGGGAGTTCAGAAAATTTCTTGAGAAAAGAAAATTTGTTACATTACACATTTTACGTGTATTTCATTTACTATTTCATTCATTAAACAGCTGTTTTGTAATGTTTTGTTACAATTGTATTAAACCTCTACTTTTTATGCAGAACAATATTTATCATGATTTGAAAAAAAACATTTGTTTACTTGCATAAGTTTTAAACTAATAGAAAACTTTAACTTTATCTTTAAAAATGAACCATAAAAGTTTAAATTTTGGATTTAAAATATCTCTCAAGAATTCTTTTTATTTTGAGTTATTTTACAGGTTTTCAATGGCTAATTTGTGTGGCGTATTATGATTTACATTATCCTGACAATTGACAAAAACGACTGTCTTTTAATGCTATTACAAAAACTATTAATAGGCTCCGACAACAGTGCAATCTACAGATGTTTTCACTTTGAACACTTTATATACAAATTAATATAATTCGTTTAAAGGACCAGAAATTATAACAGGTATCTAAATAAAATAATTTAGATTTGCTGTTTACTTTTTTAACATAACCTAAACCGGTTATGTTTGGTTTGGAGGATGAAGGGGGGGGGGGTAAGCGTAGAGGATGCGGGGAGGCTAACGTAGAGGATGAAAGGAGGTTGACGGGAGGCTGGCAACTGGAAGTAAAACTAGAACAGGAGAGGATGTAGAGACCAGGGGTTACGTCATCAGATCAACAGGACTTCAGAGTGTAAATAAGGG